CTTAGATTCTCCAGCAGAAAAAGTCACTTTTCTTCTGAAATATCACAATCATTGTCCACTAAGAAGACTCACTTTGAAATTATGCATTAAACCGACTTTACCAAACTTTTAAAAGTTTTAATTAATTAATTTCATTGACAATAATAAATGTGCAAAATTAACATATATTATTAATAAGTAAAGTAAAGGAAGCAATTTAGGAAAAATGTTATAAAATAAGGTCCTATTAATATTTTTATTTTAGCAAGGGTCTGTTTCATAACATTTCATTTTGGTGCAATGTAAAGATGTTGACTGATTTCTTAAAAAAAGTGGACACATGACTAATGATTTTAATTTTTAATGAGATCCAACTACTGAAATTTTGTTAAGGACTTCTAATGATATTAAAAACACTGCAAAAAAGAGAAGACATTAAAAAGTTAAGCTCTTATAGATTATTTAATATTAATATTATAATTTGTAGTAATTTGGGTTAAATAAAAAGAATAACTAGATTTAGTAATACTGGTAAATAAAAGTATGACTGTCAAAGTTTTAACTCAAAGTTTAGTGGTGTAAATTTTACTACAATGTTAAATTGCGCTTAGTACATTTAACAGTACTTTAGGCTTAGGTATATTTCAAATTTACTGGTAAATAATAAAACAGGTTAAATACATTGTTTTATTAACTAAGTACTATCTAAAAATTAGTTTACTGTCTCTTCATGATTTAAGGATTAACTTGTTTACTTAAAGTTAAACTCAGATCCATTAGTTTAAATTCAGCCTATGATATAAATCAGGTTAAATACATTGTATTATTAACATTACATATACACCAAATTAAAGACTTTTCATTATCACTTCTAATAATGTCTATTTCTAAGTTCTATATAATTAGTGATAAACTATTACTTTAGCGTGAAGACAAAGTAGCGATAAAAAACTAATAATTGATTCTTAAATGTTAGAACTTAAAAGTAACAGTGTTAACAATAGGCTACTGGTATTTATTTCCAGGCTATAAGTACAAATACAATGGTTAAGACTAGTGTAGGAGTTAAGGATTCACAG